ATAAGTTTTCATCCTAACTCATTTCTCGTTAGTTTATTTGTATTTTATAATATTCTGAATTTTCACAAGAAGTTTCAATAGAGATTTCTGATAATTAGACAAAGATTTTTTTTTTTGTAATTCATTTTTAATAACACTACAAAGAGCTCGAGCGTTTATTCTTCCGTACTGAGTACTTAGTATGTGGTATGAACCGCATGATAAGATTTGTTGAGGATAAGGATTTTTTTTTTAATTGAGTGACCCCGTGCACAAAAGTCTGCATCTAAAAAGGAGAATTTCAATTGTGTATTTCTACTACTTTCTTCTGTAGTAAATACAGTTTGCGATGAGCTCACATGGATAAACATTTAGGAGTTTGAGTTATTAGTGCATTTATTTGACTGTTGCTATAATTGCTCACATTTGACCCAAATAAATAGTCTAGTGGCAAGTAAAACTGTAAGAATAATTTTTAGTTATGTACGGTTTAAAAAATATTTGTTACAAATACACATTTTAGGACTGCTGTTTTGACAATTGTTAGTTGGCTCGTTATTGATTGTATATCTAGTGGCATTACCTATTTGATCATAATAATTTGTTTATAAAATTCTAGTGATTGAAAAAGTTACTTTTTAGATGGTTATAAATGTTTGTGCTTTTTTCGTCCAGGTAAAGTCACGTTTTATTCATTTTCTGCTTATTAACATAACAACCGCGTTTACGTAAACAGTCATCGTGTGTACAAACTTTTTTGCAAACATTTGCTAACTCAAACGTTTACAAATAAAAAAAAAATGTAGGTACATTAATTAGGATTAAAAAAGAAAATCCGGTTAAAAATGGTTGTTCATGTTATGTATAAATTTTTTTTTTATATTTGTTAAAAATATGTGACAAATAAAAAATAATTACCGGATGTATTTAAACATATTAATATCAAATAGGAAGGACTTAAATAATTAGCACAGTCGGGAAACGTCTTAATCCGAGGCATAACGAGTTTGCGTTCATAAGATTGTTTACTTAATAAATACAAATCAAAAATAAAATATTTATGCGAAGATAAGTTATAATCCAATATATATTTTATTTAAAAAACAAATTAGTTATTAGATCTGAATATTAACTTAACCTTATCGTAATACATAAAAATCATTTTACTATTTCTTTGTATAATCTATTTTCCTTAATAGTGTACAAAATGCAAATTAACTACTTTTAGTTTATACTTTGAGTGTAAAAAAACTTATTAAATATAAGTTTTTTTAAAAAAAAACCTACTCTGGACGTATTAAGTTTGCTATTTTTAGACGTATAACTTTCTACAGCACTCATTATTAAAGATTAAAAAACTTTGATACATTTTTCTTAAACGTAGGTCTTTAGTTTTTATGTTATAGCTATTCTTATCAAACATTGAATTTCATTGTACATTTGATCTTTGTAAAGAATATCCAAAATGAAAGCCATTATTTTATTGAATTAGTTGATTATAGTAATCACAAAATGGTGACAATATATATGAGTGTACGGTTCAAGTAACTCGATTTAAAAATTACTGGAATTATTTAAATGTTTAGTCATTTTATTAACGAATTGGCGTGTCATTCAAACATATAATATTAAAGTAATAAACAGATTTGTTTGTTTATAGCTGCCAAAGAATCACGTCTTCGTTTAAATTTTCGAGTTTTTGGGGTTTCAGGAACAAGTATACACATAATCGTTATAATATAATATGGCGATATAAAGTTTTTTTTACGTATGTAAGGATAATTTTTTTTTATGCAAATACAAATGCCGTAAAGAATCAATTTTTCTAAACTAAATTCAATTGTGTGCACTTAAGACGTTGTTTTTCGGTAGTCACGATATAATATAAGAACTTTGTGTTTAAAAAAAAGAGTACCTAATACGATATTCATAGTATACATTTTAAAGTTAAATTAAAAGTTTCTACTATTATTTGACTAAAATAATTTCAGCGTATACCACAATAAAACGCAGTATTTACTTGACATTTTGTCAACTTTACATAGTGGCTTTATTTGTATGAACATAAGTAAAGGCGGGATTACTTGTTTAGATGACACTGCAAACATTTAACTAAGGCGGAAGTTTTGTTTCCTTATTGGACCAATTGTAAAATAACCTTAACCCATTAGTCGCTGTCGCAAAAAATGTTACCTTCTTCTTATAATTTTGAACGGCTACAATAGGTAATGCTTTTAAAAATATCATTTATTTTAGAGTTATTTATCTTTTCCATCTCAGTTTTCCAATGTTAACCAACGATTTTTTTTTTTTTTTTTAAGCAAGTATTATTATAACAGAACGAATATTTTTCGTTTAAATAATAATAAAAAAAATAAGTTTATTATACAAACCACTTTTACATTAAACATATTTTATTAAATATGTTAAAAATAATTTAACTGGTGTTCAACAAACTCAAGTGTTTACCCAAAAACGGTATGGTTAAAAACATAATGATTGTTAAAATACGATATGAAATAAAAGGCGTATGCGTAAATGAGTGTAAGTTAAAGACGATGGTAGTCGAATAGTCTGGAAGAAGGTATACAGTTATATTTGTTTAGGTTATAATTAAATTAAGTCCAATTTCATGTAACATAACAAAACGCTACTTTAATAAAAAAAAATTATTGCCGTTTTCTTGAAAAAAGACTTTACTTTTAAAATTTAAATCACACAATAAATTATACGTGTACTTAAAATTCCAGCAAATCGGTTAAAGTAATTAAACTCTCGTTAGCTGAAATATTTAAAAGATTTTTTTTAGTCTAGAACAGTTTAACGCTGTTATAAAAAAAAAACTGTCGTGTGTACGTTATTCATGAAAAAAGTATATGTACATGTATAGTGTAAACATATTTATATATATATATATATATTTAATCAAACCTCTTTTGTAGTTTCTTTTTCATCACGTGTAAAGAACTTAATTTGTTCCCGTGCCAATAGTTATATTTACATCCCATTTTGTTTTATCTTTATAATATAGATCGACAGAGTCAATATATCTAGTTGTGTTAGCAAATAAAATGAAAATTGATGAATTGATAATATATATAAAATTATATACCGGGATAACTTAATAAAGGTAACAAATATTCGCTCTATTATTTTAGAAGATGTTAAACCATTTGATGTTTTGGGCGATTGATAAAACTATAATTCTATATTTTATTTACATCATCGGCTGTGGTTTAATGATAAGTACTGCATAATAAAAGTAGTAATAAGACCTGAGTATGAATGTGTTAAAACTTTCACGGGTTGAAATATCACGTGGATGATTTTCAGATATATCCGTGTCAACAACCACGGATATATCTCAAAATCATCCACGGGAAGACCTGAGTAGTTATAGCTAATTAAGTAAGTAATAATCGTGTCTGTGTTGATCGCAAGCCAACACTTGTAAGTTGTATTGTTATCATAATGTATAACAAGAGGATTCTGCATACGATTATAATAAAAAAAACCTAACCTTAATATTATGAATTTCGTGTTGTTACCCTGCAAATTGCTCATCGCAAAAGCATAGGTATTCCATGCTAATGTAGTTAGATATAGTGGAATTTGAAAAGATACTGATAACCGTAGGTAGGTCTGATAATTAATAACCGTTTGTATAAAACGGCAGGGTCCATTGTAAAAATTGCTTTGACGTTTTATTATCCACTTGTTATCAAAACAATGAAATTTTAGTAGTAAGTATAAAAGTATTTTTCTGTTCAAAGTAATAATAAGTTCCTCACCAAACCAATGTTTGTAGAACTACAGTAATAATGTGACATAGGTCGCTGCGCTAATGTTTTATAACACGTTTTGTTTTACCATTTTGTGTTTAAAATGCTAATAACTGAACTCAATAATATTACTGGCAATAAAAACGGACAGGCACATCATTTGAATATAGACACAGTTAGATGATATTTTAATTAGTGTATAAATTTAATACATACTCAACTTCATCACATTTTTCGACATATGATTTGTATTAAGGGTATACCGGGCGTTAGCTTTTTTCTAATGGCCTGAAATTTTTGGCAACCGGGTAAACATAGATCATAGACCGTAAAGGTTAAAATGTAGATCACTAACACCCGGTAAAGCACACGGGATAGAATTTAATTTATCAAAGATTTTGTGCACAAGAATTTTAATATACTAATTTCGTTAGTTCGATTACTAGGATAGTATCTGAGTGAACTTTGTTGTTGACCGAAACTTAACTATCGACTCGTTCAAGACAAAAACCGTGTACTACTTACGTTTAAGAGCCATAAAGGTCGCAAGTTGGAAACCAGAAGTGTAAACGAAAACAAAAAGCTTTAACAAAAACGTACAAAAGGTCGTTGTAAGTCGTTAATTATCATCGTTGAAACGTTGTACTTGGCCGAAAGAGTACCTCGAGTTCGGATGAACCGTAAACTTGTTCAATCACACAAAACGAAGTTCGACCAAAATTAATTTTAAAGCGAAAACCATACCTATTAATCACAATCGAATATTGGATTTTAAAGATTTCCGTGTAACTTATTCCGGCGAAAAACTATATAAGTGTCGACCACTGAAAATGATGCGTGGAGATTTTGCAATAATTAAATACATTTTACTATCTCTGGCGAACACTGTGTACTACGTTAAGTTGTATAATATATGACAATTGTTAAACAAATATTTTTTTAAGAGCCGTTAAGTGTGAGTAAATATAATTCACTATGCATCAGTTAGAATTGTAATGTTTCCATTGAAAACAACGGTCGAAGAATGAGAAGATATACGAGTGAGAATATTTAACGTTAGAGATTAAAATAACAAATGTAGAAACTTTGCGTTTGCGTCGCTGAATGTAAAATCATTTGTAGTTTTGTAAATAATTATCAGTTGCTAGTTTTTTTTTAATTCAAAATTTTTTTTCAACAAATAGGTCTTTATGTACATAATATGTAAATATTAGCTAACCCTCTTGGTGGATAACTCACTTGAAATCCTTTTGTGATCCGCCTTTGTAGTGCCGAGTCGAAGACAAAATTTTTTTTTCCTTCTTACGTTCTGGTTTCGGTTCAAATCGCGCGTAAACGGATGTGGCGGATGACGTCCGGACTGAGCATAACGTTGCGAAATCTGGTCTCGGATATTCACTTGTAATTGAAACGTTGAGGAAAAAAAGAAAGATATATCCAGTAAGACGGAGACAGATAAAGCGAGAGAGAGACGGGTGAAAAAGGAGCGAACCCTATTTAAACAGAAACGGAAATATTTATACGATTTCGACGGCGAATAAAAATATATTTTTTAGTAGTACTTCACTCGGAAAAAAAAATTGTAAAAAAAAAAAGAGACTTACAATACTATACACTATATAAATCTATATAGCAGTTGCGTTCCCTTATGTATTGTATATAATATATTGTATATTGTTATATGGCCCTATAAACAACGGTGCAGCTAATGCCGCGGATCCGCTTAAGTCGGCGGCGCAACGTGTATTGCTGATACCGGAGCGGCCGTACAAGTCTACTGATAATGCGGTCCCTATCCAAAGCGCGAGATGTGCTCGACGTCCGCCCGCCACTTTTTAACGGCCACGCGCGCCACACGTCCTCCACTCTCGGCCAATGGCGTCGCGGCGCGCTCGTCTTACGTGACGGCCGCCGTTGTTGCAGCGACGCGACGCCGTGTACCCCAATGGTGTACCCCGTGTTCCCTACGCCAATTTATACATATATATATATATATATATAAACATAATATTTTTATATACAAACATTACTATTATTATTGGAATCATAACCGTGGTCATGTTGTATAGGTACAACTGTTATATTTTCTACCTGCTGGTATATTACATACACACACACACCTTCATGGGTATATTAACCGCTCAACGGCAGCTATATGTTGTTGCGATTTGGTCGCAGCCTCCGGTCCAATAATATACGCCGATCGCGACGTTCGTACACAAACACAGGCACGGGCATACGCGTAGACAAAACACAGACCAAACGCATACGCACACGCAGGCTTACAACGCTGTAACCGTGCCAATGCAGGTGTTGTTTTATTGTAATAAAATATACTTGACAATATACAGGGTCTGCAGATTTTTTTACAATGAACAGTTTTATACATTTATCATATTATTAAACAAGTTGTTGGTAATCAAAATGGTAAAGTAGGATTTTGCAGGTGTGCATCATACAAAATTATTTTATCTGTGTTCTTATGGTTGACGTTCACAAGTTTCCTTCATTTCCCATTAAAAAATTGGTGAACATTTGTAAAACTTATATGAAATACATGTGAAGAGTACAGAACAAAAACCAGAAAAGTCCCTTTTGGTTAATCGTGGATAAACATGTGCTTATAATTTTATGATCATCACTTTATGTTTTCATTGACCAATACTGCTGTACGACTAAAATCTTGTTTTGAAATTTTTTTGAGTTATACCCTTTGAATCAAATACCTGTTCGTTGTTCAATTTAAAAATAGTTATTAAAGGATATCTTTTTTAAGTCGAAGAGGAACCCACATATTGGTATAATATAATTGTCTAATTTTATAAAAAAATAATACTATATATAATTTGAGAATAATATCTGTACAATTATCGGTTTTTAATTGTTAGAATTCATAGTTATAAATGAAAAGTGAAGTGCAGGCGAGAAGTTTATGCAGATAACAGTCCACTTCCTTACTAATAGTTTTAAACGCTAATAACTCGAAAAGCGTTTTCTAAAACTAAATATCGACTCGTTGAATGGTTTTTTATTACATTATATATTATTGTTTTATAATAAACAAATCAAATATGTATGTTAGCTTTTGACTTTTAAAAATCGTACTATCTAAAACTACCGTTTACCTAAATATTTTTAACTTGAATTTGTTTTTTTAAATTTATTTAAATATAACAATTGTTTTTATACGACACTTTTTTTTATCTAAAACAATTATTATTTCTCAGAAAATTAGGCTGTATTGTACAATTTTGAATACCTTGTATAATATGATTACTCACAAACGCATATTAACAAAAATATAACTTGTCTGTGGACCGTGTGCGGTGTGACGGTGTCGTCGTCTTTGCCAACTATTTTTTTGGGGGGGGGGGGCTGAAGGGGAGTGGTAGGGGACAAGGAGGGGCAGAGTATAACCTTATTCCGGTATATACTTCCGATTTCAATAACCGGAAATTTCGCCATTAAACCATAAAACATAAAATATTAATAATAGCATAAATCTATATTTATGTGCGTTATTAATTGCGACACGTTTTTCGGAAAAACGGAAACTCACAACGATTCGAACTTTAAACCGAATTCGATCACACATCCAAAGTTTCTACACTATATTATTATTGTTATCATATATTATTATAACATATTTGAACACTAATGTTGCATAATGAGCGGTTGGTTTTTGCGTGCCATATCGTTTTACTGTAATTTAATTGGTAAAACCATTAGGTCTTGTGTACTTTATCGAAGTCGACTATCGCCGAATGTTTTAACAACGCTTTAATAATTATTATTTTGAAAATTGTGTGTGGAAATCAAACGATATAATTGTTATTATTATACGTTTTAAGCTCGTGTGAAACAACAGGTGACACCTGTAGATAATAAATTTAATTTTCTCCTGAAGTATTATTTTTGAAATTTTTTATTTTAGTATCCCGGTTTAGCATACACCTACACCTATTTCGCATGATAACTTGATAAGTATAATAATATTACCGGCTTGAGAATTAAAAAAAAAAACCTTCAATATATATAATGTATAAAACATGTTCATAATAAAAACGCACGGCTAACTGCCGTTGTATGAAGTGTGACACACAAACACATTTTTGCATTTAAAACCTGTTAAAAAAATATCCAATAATATATATATATATACAACGGAAATCTGTAAAAACTACACCGTTGAAAAACGCAATACCATTAATAATAATAAATAGGTCTTCTTGGACTCCATAGGTTACAATTCAAACATTACTTCCAACACGCGCTTGTGCTATGGTAAACAGTAAGCGGTTGCCGATTTGTATCAAAAACTCGATATCCACTGACTAGTCAGTTAGGGAAGCCAGTCACTTGGGAAGTAAAAGTTTACTCATTCCGTCTTACAACAGGTACGCTCGAAAACCTTTAAAAACCCTTTGGGAAACGAAAATTTGGGCTTTTGTTCGACACTGAGCATGTTGCGGTAAAGGCAGACAATGAAAACTTAATTTTTGAAAAACCAAACAGAATCGAAACTTAAAAAAATAAAAGTAATAATCTGTTTATGTTAAAAAATATAAAAGAGCATATTACGTAGTATAATTATATTTGATTGATTAAACTAACAACTCCATTGAGTTCCTGGGGCGGTCTAAGACCAGATCTACGGTTTTGTTGAAAAACAATTATTTACTATTAATATATTTAAAAATGTAGTGAAAATATTTAGTTTTTCGACTTGTATTGACGATTAACTTAATTTTTCTGAATGAAAAAAAATTAATAATTTAGTTTCTACTCTTCTTTGTGAAATTGTTAATAATCAAAGAAAAAATCGCTAAAGAATGTCTTACCTTTTTATGCGTGCCGGGGGAATGAAGTTGAATAAAAAAACTAAAGGGGAAAACCGGTTGCTCCGTCAGGAGTACCAAAATATGTTGATAAGAGAACCCGCCACAATGCAAAACTTTCCCAAGTTAGGGAATTTAGAATAACTTATATAACTTGGGAACACATTAATTAATATTTCTACAACTTCGTGTAGATAATACCGGTTAGTTCTACCACAAGTCTGCTACCACTTTTTTAATGTCTAATACACCGATTAATCGAATGTTCAAATTAGCAAAAAAATAATAATATAGATAATATTGTAAATCTATATACAAAAGTAATTTCAAATGGACGATTTCGAGTAGGCCATTTGACCGGAACGCAAATCCTACCGCCGGACACCTTTTGGCTTGAGCGCGCACTGTCGGCAGAACTCCTGACCAATTAACGACCACGATGAGATTCGACATATTTAATTCCAACATTTTCATCTTTTATTTTGATTACTTAGCATTGAATTTTTATTAAAATCATTCGTTTATTCCCATAACTAATTAACATATTAATCAACTCATTTTCACTCAGAAATAAATCACTAGCCTACGGAGACATGGTCTACGCTATCTCACTAGTAATTTATAGTATGAATTAAAAAGTAATCTTAAGTTAAATGTGTAGTCAATATATTATTTATGTTAAGACAAAACTAATTATTGTATAGATATATATGTGTTTATTGTATATTTGAATGTATAATTTTAATTGGACTTAGGTCCGTATGAAATATAAAAATAAAATAACATCAAAAATATAAGCTAATAGCACATTAAATAAAAAAAAGTCATGCCCTTTTGACTTTGTGCAAACCTAAGATAGTATTGGTTGCATTAGTGACGCATTTGCTTTTCTTAGTAGTTTGTTTTTCGAGACATTTTGCACTATAACTTTCAAACCGCCTGATTTTATTTTTTATCAGAAGGGGGTGCACCTTTCCTGTCAGAATGATAAGAGACATTATCCTAAAGAGGAAAAACGGGTATTCGCCCAATTTTCGATAGAGGAAATTACTTTAAAATGTCGAAATAAAATGTCACAATAAATATTTATTTGTTTATCGTCTCGTGATAAAAAATGAACGACAATCTATTATGAGTATTATTATCATACAAGAAAAAAATGTTAAACATCACACTTTTCATTCCCTCACTATGTCACAACTTGCTTTTCGGAATTTTGAAATATCAAGGTGGACCAATAACACACTTTTTCTAGTAAACAATCTAAATCGATCGATAAGGGGAATTCTTAAGCATTTGTTTCGGGTTTTTTAACCTATTAGGTACGCAGGTTACGTTTATAAATCTTACAATTAATCATTGCTAATAATTCCGAACTATATATACAAGCAATAAGTAATCTATACAAACACATACCAAATCTGATTTTATACGTTGTATTTCTTAAATGTCTATATTTAATCAATTGACGAAAATTATGTAAGGCGAATGTGGTGTTCTGTAGGTATTGCAATTAAAAGATACAAAGCGCTAAAATCGATTTTGTATGGATTCTATATACTAAATTAAATATAGTTGATGGGGTGACCAATGAGATGAATTATATTCGAGACATGACTAAACAGTAAAGCGTTTTTATTAAAATTATTACAATGTCCTCTGATAAAACTTAAATGTCTTGCAGCCTTATTTACAATTGTAGATATGTGATGGTTAAAATTTAAATCAGATGAAAATGTAATTCCCAAGTCCTTAATATGTGTAACGATTATAGTAACACGAAGTTTAATATTTAATAAGAAATCCTTATAGATTCCTTTATCCGATAAAAAGAAGTAACACTGCATTTGGATAAATTTAAACTTATATTATTTTCTAGACGCCATTTTTCAACTGCATTAATGCCACACTGT